TATTTTAATTATCAAATTAAAATTTTTAAATTAAAAAAAAGTAACGCACTTGTTGCATTTTATATATGAGACAAACAAATTCCAAAATAATTGTCTCTTGTGAACCACGCTATCTCGATTCATATATATATATATAGAGAGAGATCATATAGAAGTGAAGTCTGTATAAAAAATATTTTCTTTTTTTTTTCTCTCTTGTACTTTGTCTGTGAAAGTAAACTGACGTTACACTCAGTAATAAAAAAAATAAAAAAGAAAAGGGAAAGAAGTTACCAACCCGGTGACTTACGATCCACGGTGGAAAACTTTCTTTTCGAGTTTTCCCCCGAAACTTGACTTTGTTCTTCGCTCGGCAAACTTACCGTGGAGATGGACGTCACTTTCAGAGATGCATTGCAAGGTTAGATTGTTGGAAATATATATATATATATATACATATATATTTGTGTGCAAGAAAGTACAGAGTATTTTGTACTTGTCGGAAATTTACATTTTACTTGCCAATATTGTCTCAGTGTTCTGAAAAAACTAAAATTTATACGATTTTTAAAACATACAATGTTATTTTGGAACCTAAAAATTATTTTAGAACCTACAATATTATTCTGGAACCTACAATGTTATTCTAGAACCTACAAATTATTTTACAACCTCAAAGGTTATTCTAGCACCTATAAAGTTGTTCTGGAACCTACAAATTATTTCAAAACCTACAAATTATTTTAGAACCTAAGAGGTTATTCTAGAACCTACAATCCTGTCCTGAAACCTACAATGTTATTTTAGAACCTACAAGGTTATTCTAGAACGTACAAAGTTATTTTAGAACCTACAAGATTATCCTAGAATCATTTTAGAACCTACAACGTTTTTCTAGAACCTACAATGTTGCTCTGGAACCAACAAATTATTTTAAAACTTACAAAGTTATTCTAGTGTATTTTTACAACCCACATGTTATTCTAAAACCTACAAATTATACTAGAACCTACAAGCTTATTCTAGAACCTCCAAGGAATTAAATTAAGAACATTCTAAAAAAAACCTTGCAGGAACCAAAATAGTTATAAAATGACTTTCAGAAAAAATTTTAGGTTCCAGCATAACATTTTGTAGGTTGTAAAAATATACTCGAATAATTTTGTAAGTTGTAAAGTAACCTTGTAGGTTCTAAAATAATTTGCAGGTTCCAGAGCATTATTATAGGTTCTAGAATAACGATGTAGGTTCTAAAATAATTCTACAATAACCTTATAGGTTCTAAAATAATTTGTAGTTTCTAGAATAACATTGCAGGTTCCAGATTAATATTGTAGGTTCTAAAATGTTTCTAGAATAACCTTGTAGGTTCCAGAATAACATTATAGGTTCTAAAATATTTCTAGAATAAACTTGTAGGTTGTAAAATAACTTTGAAGGTTTCAAAATAACTTTGTAGGTTGTAAGAAGATACTCGAATAACTTTATAAGTTGTAAAGTAACCTAATAGGTTCTAGAATCTTTCTAGAATAACCTTATAGGTTCCAGATTAATATTGTAAGTTCTAAAATGTTTCTAGAATAACCTTCTAGGTTCCAGAATAACATTATAGGTTCTAAAATATTTTTAGAATAACCTTGTAAATTCTAGAATAATTTGCAGGTCCAAGAATAACCTTGTAGGTTCTAAAATAATTTATAGGTTCCAAAATAATTTTGTGGATTCTAGAAAACCTTGTAGATTCTAGAAAACCTTGTAAGTACTAAAATATTTCTAGTATAATCTTGTAGGTTCTAGGACAATCTCGAAGGTTCTAGAATAACCTTGTTGGTTCTAGAATAATTTATACACTGAAAGAAATTTCATAGGAAAAAATAACAAAATGCGTATTACATTTTAATATATTCTTTTAGAATTTAGGGAAAAGTGTACTTTTTATTAAAATTCAATATACTTTATATTAAAGTTCCAACTTAAAATCTTTTTTCAAATATTAATAATTATTGTAGAAAGAACGTAAAAAGATTACCAATATTTGAAAATATTATATTAAATTCTCATAGAGTTGTTGCATTATATGGAATGTAGCGTTCTAATATTTGTAAAACTTTATACGAAAAATTCAGAATGTCGGAAGAAAAGGGAAAAAAAGTGGAAACTCGGACGTTTCCGTTAATTCTCGGGAGGAAGAGGAGTGAGACTAGGAACAACACATTCACACTTACGATACAGGTTAACACACATACTAATGAACACGCACGTTCATTTCGCTTATACATAGACATTACACGATCGCAACGAAACCTACACTTACAATTCTATACGCATAACGATAAATTTCGCTGGGGGTCGGCATATATCGTTTTCTTATATACTAACTACTGAATATTTTTACCACTTGCGAGAAAGAAGTTTACTTATAATAACTTAATAATAAAAAATAGTTTACTAGTGCCAATGGTGTAATTTTATAGAGGTTACGCTGGGTTCATTTTTATTATTAATTGTTTATATAGATTTTTCTTTTTTTTCAGATTAAAAATTATGATTGTTATAAAAATTTTTATTGCAAATAAAAATCAAATAATTGTAAAGATGACATCAAAAAATAATAATTAATAAAAATAATAATAAATTTAATAATTATAAATGTTTTCTGTGGCACTATAAACATTTGAAACACGTGTGTTGACAGTTGATAGGTACGTTCTGCTGGTTAACAACACTTTCGAAAATCGGATCAAGTCGTAGAAGTTCGAGTAGGACACGAAGCCGCAAACAGACAGAACTTCGGTTAAATTCGTAGTCTCTCGGGAAAATCCGTGACTTTTAGTATAAAGTTTTACAAAATGTGAAATAAGTATACGGATATATGTTATTTTTCTTACTATTTTGTGAAATTATTTATTATAATATTTCGTATTCTGTGAATTCATAAAGAAAATACTAATTTTTAAAATAAATATACTAATTTTTATTTCTTAAAATAATAGTTACTCTTAAATTCATTATATATTTTCATAAAAACTGTAATAGTAATCAGTATAGGTGCACTTTTTCCCTAAATTGTAACATTTATATTAAACTCTAATATGAGTTTAATACTTAGTAGTATGAATTTTCTTTCAGTGTAGGTTCCAAAATATTTGTAGTATAATCTTTTAGTTTCTAGGTCAATCTGCGAGGTTTTAAAATAACCTTGTAGGTTGTGGAATAACCTTTTAGATTCTAAAATATTTTTAGCATAACCTTGTAGGTTCTAGAATAACCTTGTAGGTTTTAAAATGACCTTTTAGGTCCTAAAATAATCTTGTAGGTTCCAAATATAACCTTGTAGGTTCCAAAACAACCTTAAAAAATTTTTTTTTCCTATTGAAGACCTTAATTCTAAATAGTATCACGTTTGTAACTTTTAGAGAGAGAGAGCGAGAGAGAGAGAGAGTAGGAGAGTGAGTGAGAGATAGTGAGTGAGTGAGTGAGATTGAAGACAATCGGGTGGAGATTCCCTTTTGCCTTGTCAATTAGAGGAGAATGCCTGTCATTTCTATTGTCACTGTACGATGCGAATCTCTCTAGCCAGGGGTTCTGATTAACGTCGTAATGCAATACGCGTGTAATGCTACAAAGGGGTCGAAGGCAACCCCAAGTAATATACTCCGAGGCTGACGCCTATATAGCTCATCACGTTCCGACTTTTTCTATATATATATATATATATATACATACATATATACCAACTTTGTACACTAAGTAAGACCTTGCGAATTGAAGGGGATTGGAAACAAGTTTAAAAGACTTAAATCCACTCTCACGCCATTCAAAGAGATGATGAGGGGCAAAAAAAATTTGGTTCCTTTGTTGGCGCGACAAACTTTTAATCCTAATTGTCATTAAAAAAAAATTTTTTTAGTATTGAATTAGGTTCAAATTAGGTAAAAATAGGTCCATTTTAGGTTCAAATTAGGTGAAAATAGGTCCATTTTAGATTTAAATTAGGTCCAATGTAGGTACAAAGTAGGTTGAATGTAGGTTTAAAGTAGGTTCAATATAAGTCTTCTCTAGGTCCAAAGTAGGTCAAAGTAGATTTAGGTTTACATTAGGTCCAATGTAGGATAAAAATAGGTTCAAAGTGGGTTTAATATAGGTCTTATTTAGGTTCAAAGTAGGTCAATTTTTGGTTTAAATTAGGTTCAATGGAGGTTCAATATAGATTCTCTGTAGGTGCAAAGTAGGTTTATTGTAGGTATAAATTAGGTTAAATGTAGGTTCACAGTAGGTAAAATGTAGGTTCAAATTTGGTTCAATATAGGTTCTTTGTAGGTTTAAATTAGGTTAAAAATAGGTTTCAAGTAGGTTCAAAGTAGGTTTAATATAAATCCAATTTTGGTTCATAGTAAGTTCAATATAGGTACTCTATAGGTCCAAAGTAGGTCAAAGTAGGTTTATTTTAGGTTTCAATTAGGTTCAAAATGGGTTTAAAGTAGGTACAAAGTAGGTTTAATATAGGTCCAATGTAGGTTCAAGGTATATTTAAAGTAGGTTCAAAGTAGGTTCAATGTAGGTTCAAAGTAGGTTCATAGTAGGTTTTAATTAGGTTCTAAGTAGGTTTATTGTACATTTAAATAAGGTATTTAAATACAATAATAATAATAATAATAATAATAATAAAAATATTTTTTTACAACAAATTTTACAAAAATATTTTAATGTTAATATAAATAATTTTTGTTTAAAAATTTACATTATTATCAAACAAAATATTTTTGACAAAATAAAATGAAAAATTGAAATAATATATTTTTTAATATTCAAAATAATTAAATAATTAAATAAAATAAATTAATTAAAAAAAGAGAAACGTAATTACCATTATTATTAAATTAAATTATATATTATAATTTTAACAAAACTAAAAAAAAAAAAGAACGAAAAAATTTTTAATTAATATCGAAAATTCTAAATTAATTATGAATCGGAAATTAATTTTCTGAAATATATGAAATTAAAATAAATACACTTGATTACCATTTCAAAATCTATATTTATTTGCATCAATGATAAAATTTTGTGTACATTATATTTTGCGCTTTATATAATAAATAAATAAAATATTTTAATATTGATGCTTACTTTTTTTTTTTTTTTTTTTTTTTTTAACAAATTCTATTTAAAAATGTACATATAAAATTAAATGGTAAAAAAATAAAATACATGAAAAATTTGCTTTTAAATATAAATAATAATAATTGTTTTTATCATTTTTTTTAATGTTTTCTTTTTTTTTTTAAAAAAAAAAAATTTTATTATTGAAACTAAAATTTTTGAGAAAACAAATTTTTTTTCTATAATTTTTTTATTTAAAAAATATTTTTGTTCTAAAATTTTTTTGATTAAAAAAAATTTTTTTCTATAATTTTTTGGTTTAAAAAAAAATTTTTTGTTTTTAATAATTTTTTTGTTCTAACATTTATAAAAAGCAAATTTATTTCGTAGATTGAAAAAAAGAAAACGATAAAAAAAAATTGTCGTTGAAAATCAAAAAAGTTTTTAAATAAATTTGATTTTTTTTTTTTTTGTTTTTTTCCTTCGAGTTAAAAAAAATCCAATTCTCCAAAATGATATAATAATAAAAAAAAAAACAATAAAACGGGATGACTTGTCAAATTTTTGCTGTCAATTTTTTAATTAATTAATTTCTTTTTCTCTTTATCCTGTTGTTAATTTTCCATTTTTGAAAATTAATTCTCTCTCATCGTCAAAATTTGTTGATTCGATATTCTGGAAAAAATAATATTTTTCTCATTCACATTCTTGTGGATATATAAATATTATTATAATTATTTTCAACGTGTTAACCAACGAGCGAGAAATTCGTTATCAAAATTTAGTTGAATATTATTAAAATATATTTGTTCATTAAAAAAAAAAAAAAAATTTTTTTTTTAATTCCCAAATTAATTTTTTTTATAAAACAACAAACATTATATTAATTAAAATAACAATTAATAATTTATAATTAACAAATATAATAATTACACAATTTAATAAATTATTAAACAATGAATAATTAAGTAGCAAAAGTGATCAGTTAACAATTATCATTATTATTATTATTATTATTATTATTATTATTATTATTATTATTATTATTATTTTTATTATTATTATTATTATTTTTATATTTTTATTATTTTTATTATTATTTTTATTGTTAATGGTTATTATTTATTAAATGTTTAATGAATTGTTTATTTAATTGCTCATTTATTATTTTATTTGACAATAGTTTGGTATAAAATAACAAATTAGCGATCAAATAAACAATTAATTAAACATTTAATAAACAATTAAAAAAATTAATTAATAATTTAGTAAATAATTCTTAAAATTTTGTTTTTGTAATAATTATTACAAATTTTATTATAATTATTATTGTGATTATTTTTTTATAACAATTTTTTTTATAATAAACAATAATTAATAAAAAATAAATAGTAAATAGTAAACAAATAGTAAAATAGTAAAAAAAAATAGTAAAATAGTAAAAAAAAAATAGTAAATTCTCACCTGTTATAATCGACAGAGTCGTCATATATGTAAATAAAAAATTTTTTTTCGACTTTTTCAAAATGAAATTGTTTTTCATTTCCTTTTTTTTGTCGAAAATAATTTTTTCGTCGTAATTTTTTTTAAAAATTAATTTAATTAAATATCGTCATTATTTTTAATACTATTATTTAAATTATGATTTAGTCATTAAAAAATCGTATTCTATTCGATGCAATTGTATTATTTTGATAATAAAATTTTGTCTCAAGTACAATATCGCCATTAAATAATTCAATGGGTATTTTTAATAATTCAGGTGCTGTTAATGTACGTTCACCCATACTACTTGATTCAAATGACCATTCATTAAATAGACGATCTTTTAAAAATAATTTTTGCTCCATACGAAACCAATTCATTGGTCTTATTGTTGAAAAATTCACTTCACGTATAATACGTCCACATGTTTTTGGCATCCATGCACGTAATTCTTCACTTGGAAATGTAAGATCGTCATTTGCCTCCCATAATATTTCTGTTGATTTTGCCTCACGTAATTTCATCCAATGTATTTTAAATCCAATTGGATTTTGATTTGTTGAATGTGGCATATTCTCCAGGATGATTGTTTTAAAAAAAATTTTTTTTTTTTATTTAATTAATTTTAATTTTTTTTTTTTGGATTTTGGATTTATTTTTTAATTTTTTGGTTAAAGAAAACCTTGTCCTTTGACAAAAATTGACAGACTGATTTAATATTGGTGATAATTGGTATCATTAAGGTTCCCCCGCCCCCTGTTTTAAAATTTTTATTTTTTTCCAAAGAGTAGGGGAAAATTTTCTGATTTCTCTATCTCTTTCTCTCTCTCTCACATTATCTCTTTCACATTTCTCATTAAGATATAAATATTTGTCAATATAGTGTGAAAATATAGATATATAATTTAATATTAATTACTATGTAGGTTAATTAAGATTTTTTTTTCAAAATTACTTTTTTTTTTAAAATTAATTTTAATTTATTTCATATAGGCAAAAAAACATTTTGTTATTTTAATTTAATTAATATCTAGAAAACAAATTATTTTTAATTAAATTTTAATTTTTGACTATCTTTGTGTGAAATGGAAAATTTTTCCCTATATGTCGTAATTGGTAAACAATAGTTGACTGTTTAGGATTTACTTTCTGTTTATGAATTTTATAATAATACATTCAAATTAGAAATATAATTATTAAATAGTATAAAATTCTATTATTAGAAGCTCATTAAAATTTTTGTAGATATTTTAAATATTAATCAAATAAGAATATGTGAAATAATTTTTTTTTTTTTAAAGAAAAGAGGACAATAAGTAATTTTGATAAAAAAAATAAAAATATTATTAAATAAATAAATTCTAGAAAAAAAACATTTAAGGTTGTAAAATAATTTTCAAGGTTGTGTGAAACTACTTTGTAGGTCCTAGAATAACTTTAAAGGTTCTAGAACAAATTTTAATTTTAATCAAAAAAAAATTCTGAAATCTGCAAGATTACTCTGGTACCCATAAAGTTAGTCTAAAACCTACAAGGTTATTTTTGAACCTAGAAAGTTACTTTAGAACCTACAAGTTTATTTTAGAAAGTACAATCATATTCTGGAACCTACAATGTTATTCTAGAACCTACAAACTTAGTTTAATGCCTACAATATTATTCTAGAACCTGCAAACTTAGTTTAGTGCCTAAAAGGTAATTTTAGAACCTACAAAGTTATTCTAGTATTTACAAGGTTATTTTAGAACCTACAAGGTTATTCTAGAACCCTCAATCTTATTCTGGAACCTACAATGTTATTCTAGAACCTATAAACTTACTTTAATACTTATAATGTTATTCTGGAACCTACAATGTTATTCTAGAACCTACAAACTTAGTTTAATGCCTACAATATTATTCTAGAACCTGCAAACTTAGTTTAGTACCTAAAAGGTAATTTTAGAACCTACAAAGTTATTCTAGTATTTACAAGGTTATTTTAGAACCTACAAGGTTATTCTAGAACCCTCAATCTTATTCTGGAACCTGCAATGTTATTCTAGAACCTATAAACTTACTTTAATACTTATAATGTTATTCTAGAACCTACATTGTTATTCTAGAACCTACAAATTTAGTTTAGTACCTACAATGTTATTTTAGAACCTACAAACTAAATTTAGTTACAATGTTACAATGTTATTCTAGAACCTACAAACTTAGTTTAGTACCTACAATGTTATTTTAGAACCTAGAAAATTAAATTAGGACCTACAATGTTATTCTAGAACCTACAAACTTAGTTTAGTACCTACAAGGTAATTTTAGAACCTACAAGGTTATTCTAGAACCTTCAATCTTATTCTGGAACCTACAATGTTATTCTAGAACCTACAAACTTAATTTAGTACCTACAATGTTATTCTAGAACCTACAATGTTATTTTAGAACCTACAATTTTAGTTTAGTACCTACAATATTATTCTAGATCCTACAAAGTTATTCAAGAATCTGGAAGGTGATTAAAAACTATTTTATAACCTACAAGGCTTTTAGAATCTTCTTAGAACCTTCAAAATTGTTTTAGTGCCTTGGAGCTTTCAAAATATTCTTGTAGGTTCTAGAATAACATTGTAGTTTGCAGAATAAACCTTGTAGGTTGTAAAGTGAGTACTGGAATATCTTTATAAGTTGTAAAAATAATCTTGTTGGCTCTAAAATAACATTGTAGGTTGCAGAATAAACCTTGTAGGTTGTAGAAAAAAATACTTGAATAACTTTATAAGTTGTAAAATAATTTTGTTGGTTCTAGAATAACTTTATAGAATGCAGAGTAACCTTGTAGGTTATAACAGAACATTGTAGGTTGTAAATTATTTCTAGAATAACCTGTTAAATTCTAGAATAATTTGTAGATTCAAGAACAACATTGTAGGTTCTAAAATAACCTTGTAGGTTCTAGAAAAACCTACTAGTTTTTAACAATTTTTTAGGTTGTAGAGTAATTTAGAACGTTTTATAGTATCCCTAACCTAAAATTCAATATTACCAAGAATAAAAAAAAAATTTTTTTTAATAATTTTACACTAAAAAAAATTCTCTCCACTGTTGGTTATTATTGATCACGAGAAGGTCATTCTGAATGTAATAAATACAATACCAATAGTTGAAGAGAGCAATATCGTAGTAAGGGTGTTAGGTTTTGTTCGTTTCAATGTGTGTGAGAGAGAGAGTTTCAAGTTGAAATCGAACAGTAAACTACTTTGCTATATATATATATATTATAGTGACGTAAATGAAATGTCGAAATAGTTTAAAGGAGAGTGTGGGTACTAAACCGGATGACAGGGTTTGCGATTCAATACCGGAAGGGTTGGAAGGGACAGAAAGATTGAGGGGGGGATTGGTGGCGGAAGGAGGCACAGAGATTCTTAACCGTCTTTGGGGGCAATGTCGTTGGCACGATGGCTCAAGTAAGCTTTTCCTATTCTTCTTGCTGTATATTCCCTGATCGGCTTATACGAAATGGATAGCATCTTCGACGATATTTTATTTCGTCGGTTTTATATTCTGTGGCTGTATATTGTGCCTTCTGGGGGTTGTGCGCTATTTCCACGCTTCTTGTGCGGATTTCCGGGTCCCGGCTGATCCGCCGATATAGAAATAGAGATAAGAGAGAGAGAGATAGAAAAAAGGTCGTCGAAAAAAAATAAAATAAAAACAAAAATAGATAAACTTTAATAATAAATAGAATAAAAGAAATTGTCAAACTTTATCTGTCTAAATATCAAATATATATATATATATAAAGAAAAAAAATAAATTAAAAAGAATAAAAAAATTAATTTAAGGTTGTAAAATAATTTTCAAGGTCGTGTAAAATTAGTTTTTAGGTTGTAGAATAAGTTTCAACATTCAAAATTAGGTCACAACCTTAAAATTTTGATCTAGAACCATAAAAATTCATCTAGGACCTATAAAATTGTTTTACAACCTTCAAAATTACTTTACAACCTTCATATTTGTTCTATAACCTTCTGAATTTTTTCTAAAACCTACAATTTGTTTTGTAACATTAAAGATTAATTTACAACCTTAAAATTTGTTTTCCAACCTTCAAAATTGTTTTCCAACCTTTAAAATTAGTTCTTTGACCTACAAAGTTCGTTTTTAAACTTTATAGGGTACTTTACAACCTTAATACTTGTTCTACAACCTTCAAAAATTGTTCTAGGACCTACCAAAATTCATTTTACAACCTTCAAGGTTATTTTACATCCTTGAAATTCGTTCTAATATTTTTAGAGGTAGTTTACAACCTACAAAATTCGTTTTACAACCTTCAAAGTTATTTTTACAACCTTAAAATGTTGATTATAACCATCAAAAATTCTTCTAGAACCTACAAAATTGTTATACAACTATCAAAATTACTTTACAACCTTTAAATTTAATCAAGAACCATCAAAATCCTTGTAAGACCAACAATATTGTTTTACAACCTTAGATAGTAATAATTTACAACCTTCAAATTTGTTCTGGAACCTTTAAAATTATTTTACGTGATAGAAAATTATTTTAAAAAATTTAAAAACTACTTACAACCTTAAAAACTAGTTTACATCCTTCAAAATTAGTTTACAACCTAAAAATTAGTTTACAACTTTAAAAATAATTTTATATTTAAAAAAATTTACAATCTTAAATATTATTTTACAAACTTAAAGAGCATAGTAAATTTTGGAAGTTTAGAAAAAGAGAAAAATACAGAGAGACTAATTAACGGCGGTTTGGCAAAGAAGCAGCAGTATAATTTGAGATGGTTAATATACATGTATACACGCATATATATATATACATACAAGAGAGTACTTTATGAGTAAATGGAATTTCGTTCAAGTTTCGATGGATCGAAATCTTGGCTCATAAAGAAGGTGGCTGGCTCTCCTTTATTTGCATCAGTAATTCACTCAGTTTGCAACATTCAACGACGACGACGACGACTACTATGACGATGACTTTAGGTCGCATTCGCCGGATGCAAAGTGGTATCCTGGGGGACAAAGTTAGTCCGATTTCCGCTTTCCGCCAAATACGTCGCGCCAAAATACAGTTTCTCTCTCTCTCTCTCTTACTCTCTCTCTGAGCTTCGAAAACTTGGCGCCCCCAAAACCAATTCTCACGGCCACCTGGACACAACCGCCACAGATTAGGTGAAATTACAGTTTCCTCCACGAAAGCGAATAATGCGACAATTCTCTTCCATTAACCATCTCTTTCTCTCTATTCCTCTCTCTCTCTGTCTCTCTTTCTTTCTTTCTTTCTTTCTTCATCTTACAACTATTTTAGATAATTTTTCTAAAACCAAATTTTTTAAAATACATTTTACATTAAATAGAATTTTTATTTTATTAAATAAGGTTTTACAACCTTCAAAATTACTTTACAATCTTAGAGAGTATTTTATATGCTATAGAATTAATTTTAAGGTAGTAAAATAAATGAAGGTCGTAAACTAATTTTAATGGTTGTAAAGTAACTTTAAGGTTGTAAACTTACTTTGAAGTTTTAAAATAACTTTCAGGTTGTAAACTGTTCTTAAGGTTGTAAACTAATTTTAAGGTTCTAAACTAATTTTAAAGGTTGTAAACTAAATTTAAGGTTGCAAACTAACATTAAGGTTGTAAACTATTTTTAATAGTGGTAAACTAACTTTAAAGTTGTAAACTAATTTTAAAGGTTATGAACTAAATTTAAAGTTGCAAACTAATTTTAAAGGTGGTAAACTAAATTTAAGGTGGTAAACTAAATTT